CCACTTGGCCGCGGCTGCTCCGCGTCCGGCACCTCCGCTCGGGCTCCGCAGAGACCACCAGCAGATAGGAGCAGGGCCTTAGCGCCCGCCACCTCGCCATGCTTGAGGGAAGCCGTCGTCGGGACGCCCCGGGACCGCGGGAGCCCCAGCAGCAGCGACGGGCGCTGCCCCTTGCCTGGGTCGCTCACGCATTGTGACCTTGGCGTTTGGCAGGCCGCCTAGCGTTGGTCCTGCACGGGCCTCCGTGCCGCCACCACCAAGATGGCTCCCCCCTCGGGCCGGCCTGGGGCCATTTTGGTGAGGGCAGCGTTGCGGACGTGGCCCCTGCGGCGTCCCGGGAGACCCTGTCGGGGTAGCGCGCGGGTCACCAGAGCTAAGTGGTCGTTAGCCTCGTGGGTCCCCACGGCAGAGAATCATTGACAATCTTGACAGCCTCGAGGCACAAAAGCAACAGTAGTAATTGAATATTAATGGAAGCACTCCCTTGTTGCTGTGTATTCACTTATTTTTCATTTTTACGGCACTAGGAATTGAACCCAGATCCTTCCCCCTGAGCCGCATCCCCAAGCCATTTTTAAAAACTTTTATTAGTGTATGTTTGCAACACGTAAAGGTTGCGTTCATCATAGAGTTGGTATATTGACACAGCGCAGCGCATCTTTGTTTTTCATCCTGTTCTCGTTTTCCTCTCCTACAAGTGTTTATTAGATCCTCCTGGTATATACAGGTCTACACCTGCAGACTTTTTAAATCCCAGGATGATGGCGAGAAAACATAAAATGATAGAGCTGAGTTTGTGACCGGATTTGCTTTTTTAAACTGCAGATAGACTTTGGAGATTCCATCTCACCCTATCATCAATAATACTCCCAAAAATTTAAAAAAAAAAAAAAAATCTGAAAAATGTGGACCTGCGAGACAGCGAACTAAACACCTGCTCAGGCAAGCGCAGGGACCGGGGTTCGATCCCTGGTATTGCATGCCGCTCTGGCCCCACCATCGGGCGTGCTGAGCCAGTGACTGAGTCAGGGCATAGTGGTGCACACGTGTAATCCCAGTGCTAGGGAGGATGAAAACAGGAGGATCACTGCAAGTCCAAGCTATGTAGTAAACTCTTGTACCAAATACATAAAATTAAAAAAAATAATAATACTCCCAAATACTTGAGGTGGAAAGTTCTATGCTGCTGGTGGGAATGCAAATTAGTATAGATACAAAACTCAATCAGAAGATTTCTCAAAAAAGTAACATGGAACTACCGTGTGGCCCAGCTGTACCATTCGTTGGTATGTCAGCATATGGTAGGGACACTTGTTTGACCCAGGTTTATCGTGGCAGAATTCCCGAAAGCCAACCTAGGGAATCAGCCTAGGTGCCCATTAACAGAGGAATAGATAAGAAAGAATGCAGGGAGGTCACTTCCAGGAAAATGGTTAGAACTGGAGCTCATTATGTTAAGCAAAATAGACCAGAATCAGAAAACCAAGTATGACATGTTTTCCTAATATGGAGACGTTCCAAAAAAAATGACGTAAAAGATTTATTAGACAAGAGGAAAGGAACAGAGGTGTGAGGGAGGGTAATGGCATGTGATATGATCAAAATGTATGCATGTGTGAAAATACATTGAAACCTAATATTTTGTAAAATTAATACACTAATAAAGATATTTTTTAAACCTGCAAATTGAAATTAGTTTTTTCAAGAGATAACTTACACGTAGGCAGATAGCATGCAGTGGCTGCTGGTTAGGAAAAAGAATCTCCTATGAAGACTCTGGGGTGTGTGTCAGTGGATCAGAAAGAAATGTGCCATCTGAGCTTATATCGGCAGAAACAAACGCAGGTTCTACTGCAGGTATTGTGGGAAACCCCACCCCCAAGAATGCTGCCTTGTGAAAATGCCTCTGCCTGCGTAGTACTGCAGGAATGCGAAGAACCTTAGGTCACTGTGGACTTTACCTCCTCAGGCTAGCACGCAGTTGTTGGTGAATTTTATTAATTAAAAGCTGCACCGGGTGGGGCTGAGACTGCACAAACTGAATGGTGACTGGTGTGCAACAGAAAAAAAAAAAAAAAACTTAAAAAGTAATAGCTCTGCAAACTCAAAGGACAAACTAAGTTACTGCTCAGAAAGTCTTCATACACTCCCACTGTGGGCCAGACCTCAAGACAGAAGAGTAAACAAATACAGCCACATGTTTCCCTAAGGATGGGCATCAGGGATTGATAATCTAAATAGATCTCAATCACCTTGAAAGAGACAAATGAGTCACTAACCCAACCCCCAACAGGAAGAGACCCTGTACCATATTCATGCCTGCTTGCTACATGACTCACTTCCTCATTTGGTACTGGATTTAATCAATTTTACCTGAGCAGTGGTGCTTGTAATCTCATTGGTTGACCATAGTTTTGTCCCACCTCATGCCCACCTAAGTGCCTATGTTCTCCACCACCTTGGACCCACCTCACCACATGGTATTACTCTATGATAAAGTCCCTGGAAGAGACAGCTTCCTGGGGACAACCCACTTGGGCCTCCCTCCTGTCCCTCTCTTGGACAGGAGCTTTCTTTCCTACAATATTCTGCTCTAAAAAAAAAAAGAAAGAAAAAGAAAAGGAAGGAAGGAAGGAAGGAAGGAAGGAAGGAAGGAAGGAAGGAAGGAAGGAAGGAAGGAAGGAAGGAAAGATCTTCACAGAGCTCTTGCCTAAGGAGCTCTTAAAAGATGCCATTTCTTTTCCCTCCCATTTTCTATTATGAAAGAAATTTCAACTGAAGGACACCATTTAAGTAAATTACAGACACCAAAATAATGATTGGTGGAAAAATACATTTCTGTAACTCGCTCATTGGCCCAGCACAGACCTGTTGAGACCACACTGTTGTTCTAGGAAACAGTTGAGTCTATACAATCCTTAGGCTGTTCCTTTTCAGCAAAACAAACAAAAGAAACCTTTTTTTGGTCTGTCAGCAAGCTGAGGAGGCCTCTTCAGCACAAGTTGGAATAGAGGGTCACAAACAGAGCCACTGTCTTTCACAGTATCATCCAGCTATCCAGGGAATATTATTTCCTAAGCATCTTTGCATACACCAGTGCAGCCTGCGAGGAACAGGTAATCTTCTAACACAATATTGACCTCAGGATTGAAGCTGTGTTAAACAATGTTTATGCTTTCTTATCATGGAGTATTATGTAAATTTTTTCAATTACGTTGGAATTGGTTGCTTTTCCTAGACAATAAGAAGCTGTTCAGTATAACAAGATGTGTCACACCAGGAAAAACTTCTAACTTGTGATGCTGCACGGTACAAAGTGAACATTGCACCCTAAGCATATTACTCATGGTTTAATTTTAGATTCTGGCCTGCTAAATAGAGATTTTTTTTTTTTTTTTTTTTAGCTTGTGCTACCCCTAGCAAGTCAAGCATTAGGCACATAATGGTATCTGTCTTCTAAGTTGTCACTCAGTTTTTAAATGTTAATGTTGTTATTAAAAGGGGAAATTTTATAGAATTCCCTAAAAGTGGCTAATGTAGCTTTTTTTCTAGAGAAATCCTTACTAGGGAGTTTTAATTCAATCTGTATTTATAGCAGCACCAGTGGAATTCAGTTAAATACTGTGTTCCAACCCAGTCAAATTAAAGATTGTTTTCTTGATCATTAACAAGGAATCTATAGAAGCAGCTGGGCATGGTGGTGCACGCCTATGATCCCAGAATTCAGGAGGCTGAAGCAGGAGGATCACCACAAGTTCAAAGCCAGCCTGGCCTATATATTGAGTCCAAGGCCAGCCTGAACTACATAGTGTGACCCTGTCTCAAACAAAAATAACAACAAAAGAATCTGTAAAAGCCAGGAGTGGTGGCACAGGAATGTATCCCCAATCAGTCAGGAAGATGAGGCAGGAGAATCAGAAGTCTGAGCCGCTTAGCAAGACCCTATTGCGAGGGCCCAGGGATTTAGCTTAGTGCCACAGCGCCTACCTGGCAACACCAGGTCCTAGTTTAATTCCTGGTACAAATTTTTTAAAAGGATGAACTACATCTTATTGCAAAATAAAAAATGAAATGACCTGGGGATGTAACTCAATAATCCCTGAATTCAAAGGCCCTAGCTCAAAACCAACCAACCAAACAGATAAATATAGATGCAGACGGCTCCAACTAGTAACAGGAAGACTTGGATAGCTGAATTCCAATCGCTGCTCTACCACTAACTACATCTTTGACTTAGAAAATACCCTCTCATATCCCCAGTTCCCTAACTGCAACCCCCCAAAATGATTCTAATTCTCTAAACCTACTTGTAATTGTAACCTTTTGTTACTCTATTAAAAAAGTTATAGGGGAAATCATGGAGCCAGAGGGCTGATTCTAGGGGTGTAGCGTTGTGTTCAACCATGGGCCCATAGATTATGAGAGCCAAATCTGAACTGCTGTTTGTTTTCTAAGGGTTTAAAGTTCAGAACACAGTCTTAACATTTATATTATGATAGTGGCTTTTCTTCTCTTTTTTCATTGTGGTAAAAACACAATGTAAAGTTTACTATTTTAACCGTTCTTCAATGTACAGTTCAGTAGTGCTGGGTACAGCCACATTGTTGTGAAACAAATCTCCAGATGTTTTCGTCTTGCAAATCTGAAATAGCGCACCCATTAAACAGATCCCCTTTTTCTTCTATGCCCTTGACCTAGTGACTACAGTTCCAGTTGATCTTCCTATTAATTTGACAGCTTAAGACACCTTGTGGAAGTGGGCCCATATAGCAATTGCCAACATG